GATGTGGGTTCTTGCTTCTGCGTCTCTTTCTTGGGCTGGCGTTCGGGAAGGGAGGGGATGCATCTCTGGCTTGCGATATAAAAAGAAAAAGCGGCGTCGTGGCTGTTTCGGTACTTCGGACAGGCTCTAGACAGGATTCGGTCATCATCATGCTATTCCGTTCGCCCTTGTATTCTTGAAGCCGTCATGTCGGTGGAAACACCAGAGCGACCACGCTTCTTTATGTGCTTTGCTTACTTTGCAACCTATTCTCTTTGGATAAAAGGTTGTCTACATGGTTCCTCTGCCAGAACTCGGATGAACATGCCCAAGCCTGCCGCCCCCCCCCCCCCACCAAAGTCTGATCCGACCCGTTTGTACCCAAAATGTGACCCAGGACGCGCTATATATATGCTATGAAAAAGATGCTCCCCCAAAAACAAGATCCCATGATACCGCTCGAATCACCGCCATAAGCGTCGAGTGGGTGAATCAATTCTGCCAAACGCCTCCTGTGACAACTACTAGTCCTCTCTAGGCGTGCTCAAGGAGTAGGGGCCATGGACTGGTACTCATACGACGCCGCCCGTCAAATCCCGGGCTACCAAGCTATTCCGCCAGACATGAAGAAGAAGAAGTTAAGAAGCCAATGAGGGATGATCCCGAAAATCTGGGTCAGCAGCGCCTCGGCAATCTGACACCATGTGACCTGAAGCTGCATCTTTGTTCCGATCTGCCTTTTCTATTCCTTTGACAATCTGACATCAGCCGGATCACCCGAGAACCGCATCACCCGGGATGGGGATCGGCGGCAGCGACTGGGCCTTGGCCAGCATGCCGGCGAGGATCTCGATGTGGTTGACAAACGTCTCGTTGAGCATGGTGGAGCCCTTGTCCGTCTTGCCCTCCTCCGTGACCCAGTCGGCACCCCAGACGTCGGGCGGGATGACGGCGCCGTCGTAGAGGGCGATGCGGACGGGCCACTCGAGGTGGGCCCACCAGGGGCTCGCGGCCTCGAACTGGGAGACGATGCCCATGACCTCGCGGCGGGCGGCGCCGTGCAGCCACCAGACGTTCTCGATGCTCTTGAGGCAGGCGAAGAAGCAGGCGAGCACGACGAGGGCGCGCGGACGGCGGGCCTCGATCAGGTCGAGAAAACGCTTCGACACGGTGGCCGGGAAGGCGAGGGCGGCGCCGCGGTGCGGGATCTTGTGCGCCCAGTTGAGGACGGCGACGGCGTGGAGATAGGTCTGTTTGGTCGCCATGACGGTCACGGGGCACGGCTCGGTGGCGAGCTCGTCGTCGAGGTCCGTGAGAAGGTGGCCGAAGAAGGACGTAGGGGCACAGCCGTCTAGGTCCAGCTGCAGCACGGGCTGCGAGTCGATGATGGGTATGACGATGCCCGAGGAGCGGAGCCAGGGCCAGGACGAGGCGACGACCGTCTTGACACCCTGGAAGGCGTGGAACCACGAGAGCGGCAGCGTGTAGACGCTCGAGGGGTCGGCAGGGTTCGCGTCGTCGCGGATGAAGATGCGCGAGGCAGACGACTGGAAGGCGATGAGGGTGGCCGTCAGGAAGAGGGCCTCGGCGTTGGACTCGTTGATCCCTTCGTTCAGAGAGGCGCAGTACGCGGACAGAGACGAGGCCATGTAGGAGTGGGAGGCGCGGGCGAGATCCTTGTCGTCGGGGTTGAAGGAGCGGAGGTGAAGGGCGGCGACGGCGAGCATGGCGTCGGCGAGATAGTTGGCGCCGCTAAAGGCGAGGCGGGGGACTGTGTTCTGCCAAATATCGTCGGTGATGGGCGAGTTCACGACGAGGGTGCGCGATGTCATGGATGTGTACTGGTGCATCAGGCGAAGCTCGAGGAGACGGTTCGTCGGGGACTTGGTGCTGATGGTGGGCGTCGACGGCATGGTGTAGAGAGGTGTGGCAAATGACAGGGCCGGTGATGTGACGCCTTGTAACGGTGTCCTGAGGTCGCTGAGCGATGGTATGGTGGGAGAGGAGGCGGGCGTCGAGGCGTCTGCCGCTGAGGCCGTTGTCGAGGCGGGGGCTGCCGGCGATGGTGCTGAGGCGGTAGCGACGAGATCTTCGACGATGTCGGGGTTCTGAAAATCGCATGCCACGCCGTGCTTGAGGCAGTTGCCGCATCGTGGATGAACTTCATCGCACTACAGTCGCGTCTCGTTAGATCCGAGGGTCCGGCATGGCATGGCGAGTGGGAAGAGAAGGCAGCGGTGGAGGGGACAGACGTTACCTTGATCTTGCGCGACTTGCACCGCCGACAGCCTGCCCTCGATTTCTTGTGTGATCGTCGGGGAGGCATCCTACGGGGCGTGAATGAGTATGGAGGGATATGTGTTCGAAAGCCTAGGGTTGAACTAGGTATTCAGGCGCATTGCGCAGGTTGAAGTAGATTTGGTGTTGCTCGGAGAGTGGAGGCTTTCAGCAGCGAAGATGATGGCACGTAGTTCGAGTGCCCAAGGCAAGTGAAAATCGCTGTATTGTACTACCAGTCGTGATACTCTGCAATACGCGTAAGGGCGTCGCTATGACGCTCAAAGTGGTCAATTTGATCGTGGTCGGTTCGCAAAGGGCAAATGGCAGGTGATCGGTGAAGTCGTCGTGTAGTAGGTGAAGACAGCGGGGGAGTTGTGAGAGACATGAGCTGACAGGGGCTGCCTGCACACTGTCTGCCCAGTGCTCAGCCACGCTATCGCTGTAAGGGCCCGCCCTGTCAGTGGTCATTCAGCGCTGTTCGATTGGAGCCTGTGCCTGAAGGAAAACCCGTTCAGGGGGGGGGGGGCCATAGGTAAATGGAGTGGGGGGGGCGAAGCGGGGAGAACAGGGGCACAGTAGGAGAAGGATGGACATGGTGTGGCTTGAACAGATCCGACGCAGCCACAGGTGCGCGGCAGCCACAGGTGCGCGGCCAGACTCCACGTCCCGGAGCCGAAGCGGCCATCAGACGGGCGCCGGAGAGCGGGGCGACTGTATGCCGACCGGGGATGGTGGATGCGCCGGTGCCCTCCTACGATGGGAGGGATTGCGAGTTGCCCATGTGCTGCTGCGCTTGCAGCGCGCGCCGAGGAGGGTCGGAGGGGGGCGCAGAGTGGCGTAGGGTGGACAGATCCGCAGATCTGGGGGAGCGAGGTTCGAGCTGACAGCCTGCGTATACAGCCCTGTGCCAGCCTGTCTTTGCCAGGCACGAAATGGCCGTTATTGGGCCATCCGTCCAGGGCATCCGATGATGTGATCAAGCAGAAGCGACAAGATGGAGGGGGGGGTTCCCAGAACATGAGAGCTTCATCAACGCGCCATGTGAAGGGCTGGTCTTGGTGCAACACCGCACCCTCTGCGGTTTAATAGCCTAGCTTGGCGAATACTCGGCATTTGAAGGACGGTACGTGACTGGGTTGTCGGGGTTTGCTCAGGACGTGTCAAGGCCATTGGCGGCATTCAATATGATGTGAACACGCGCCTCTGGCGGCGGGCAAGAAAAGTGAGCGAACCCAAGATGCGGGGTCGAGTGCGATAAGGCCCGTGAAAACATACGCAGGATCGGGGACCATGTGCAACATGGGTTGTCTGATCCATGTGTGCAAGTCCGTGTGTCTGTGTGGCCCAACAGAAAGGACTGCCAGGAAAAAATGCAACCATCTTGAGTCGCTCATGGTTGGCGTTGTTGGAAGGAGAATAGCACCAGGGTTGGCCCCTCCATGATCCTTGGAGCATCGGCCGTACCATTAGTCACGTCTGACCCGAAAGTGGCCGCTCGTTGAGCCGCGCCCTTCGGGTTTCGGCTTTGAAATACACCTGACGGGCAAGCCTGATGATGTCAGGACGGAGAACAGAGGACAGACAGCAGACTCTCGGCAGGGCGCGTGCGACACGCTGCCTCGGCCGCATGTTGTGATACTGGGTCAATATGTCAGCAGCATGAGCATCAGCATCAGCCCCCGGAGTGTCGCTCTCCAGACGGCCGCCATGACCGGATTGATCATGCCGCCGCAAAATGACGGAAGCGCCCTGGGAGGCCAGGTTCGAGGGTAAGCACCTTCCAGGTTCTCGATCGGAGTGTCTGAGCGGGCCCCTCTCGTTCGTGGACCTTCTGGAAAGCGGAACGGCTTCTAGCGGTGAGCTCAAACCCGATGCTTTCATCTGGACATGGATAGTCTGCTGTCCCTCCTTCCGTAAAGGTGACTTTGCTCCATGCCCATCGATAGATGAGACCTCAGATAATGCAGCAAGGGGGCACTACGGATGCCGCCATCGTTGATCACATCATACCGATGCAAACGCACCAAAGAGGTCGTCTCGAGACATGGGCAAACCCTAAAACAATAGTTAAGGGACAAGCAAACATGCGGCGAAGGGGCCTTGTTGATCACGACATTGCTGGGCCAAAGACATGCACACGGAAGGGGAAGGGAGGGAAACGGCCAGTTTAGGGGGGGAGGGGCGTCGTTGAGTCATCATCGGGTCAGAGACGGGATTGCGTGATCGAGCTTGTCCCAGAGCCGCAGCCGAAAGGGAAAAAAAAAGTTGAAGGAAAAATGCAGAAGGAAAAAAAAAAACTCCCATTCCCGAGGCGGCGGGGACATTGATGGGCCTTTGAAGTGACCCGCAAACGACGAGGTACCGTGCTGTAGGTACCTACTTGCAGGTAGGTAAGGTAGTTAGTTGGGCGTTGGCTGTTCAGAGGGACACCTGTGAGGAAACAGATGGTTCCAGTGGTGTGCACGCTGTACTGTCCCCTATTCCGTTCCCTAGGCAGGCAAGGCAGGAGGCACCCTGCAGACGAGTGCGGGGCAGCCGAACGACGGATCGCCTGATGGGGCAACAGGAGCTAAGGCCGAAAGGGTACGTACCTGCCAGCTTATCGAGCAGGAAGCTGCTTAGCTCACGCCCAGCGAATGCCGGTGCCCCTCCATCCCTCCATCCATGGACTTCGACGCTTCACCGGGCGGGCGCCAGCAACCTTTTACGTTTTTACCCTATAATTACGACAAGCCCTTTCCTCCTCCCTCGTCATCTCTGCCTTCTGCTCCATTCTCTCTTCTCCGTGTCGTCTCTTGAAGCTCTCCGCTGGCCTGTTGATCTCCATCGCCTCAGCGACTTCATTCACCGTGATAACACGATCTACCCAGGATAGCCAGCCAACCTTCCAGGCATATACCATCAACACCACCAGCTCCTCCTTCACAACCACAGCCGCCACAATGACCGTCCCTCTCGCCGATCACCCCATCGAGACGCCGCCTCGCGCGCCCTCGCCTGTTCACAACTTTGGCACCCTTGCCGTCCACGCTGGCAGCCCCCACGACCCCACGACCGGCGCCGTCATTGAGTCCATCTCCCTGTCGACGACATTTGCCCAGACTGCCGTCGGCAAGCCTGTCGGCGAGTACGAGTACTCGCGCTCCTCGAACCCCAACCGCCACAACTTTGAGACGGCCGTCGCTGCGCTCGAGAAGGCCAAGTACGCCCTCGCCTTCTCTTCCGGCAGCGCCACCACCGCCGTCGTCCTCCAGTCGCTAGCCGCCGGCTCGCACGTCATCTCCGTCTCGGACGTCTATGGCGGCACCCACCGCTACTTCACCCAGGTCGCCAAGGCCCACGGCGTCAAGGTCACTTTCACGCCCGAGATTGAGGTCGACATCTCGGCCCACATTACGCCGCAGACCAAGCTCATCTGGATCGAGACGCCCTCGAACCCGACCCTCCGTCTCGTCGATGTGCGCGCCGTCGCCACCCAGGCCCACCAGCACGGCATCCAGGTCGTCGTCGACAACACGTTTCTGTCCCCCTACGTCCAGAACCCACTTGACCTCGGCGCTGACATTGTCGTCCACTCGGTGACGAAGTACATCAACGGCCACTCGGACGTTGTGATGGGCGTCGCCGCCTTCAACTCGGACGACCTCCACGCCCGCCTCTCTTTCCTCCAGAACGCCATCGGCGCTGTCCCCTCGGCCTTTGACTCGTGGCTGGCTCACCGCGGCCTCAAGACGCTGCACCTTCGCGCCCGCGAGGCCACGCGCAACGCCACGGCCGTCGCCACGGCCCTCGAGGCCTCGCACAATGTCATCGCCGTCAACTACCCCGGCCTCGACTCCCACCCCCACCGCCACATTGCCCGCAAGCAGCACCGCGACGCCATGGGCGGCGGCATGCTCTCCTTCCGCATCCGCGGCGGCCACGCCGCCGCCGAGCGCTTCTGCCAGCTCACCCAAATCTTCACCCTCGCTGAGTCCCTCGGCGGCGTCGAGTCGCTGGTCGAAGTCCCTTCGAGCATGACCCACGCCGGCATCCCCCGCGACCAGCGCGAGGCCGTCGGCGTCTTTGACGACCTTGTCCGCATCAGCTGCGGTGTCGAGGACGCTGCCGACCTCGTCCGCGACGTCATCAGCGCGCTCGACCGCGCCGTCACCGAGCAGAAGATCAACGCTGCCAATGGCAACAGCAACGGCAACGGACACTAAGCCTCTCTCGTCTTCTTTCAGCTGATGACATGATACGAGAGAGGGGGAGGGAGTATGTGTGCGTGTGTGTTGGCGGGAAAACATCTATTTTTGCACGGAGAAAATCCGAAAGCGGCATGGCGGGAACGATTCGATTTTGATTTTTTTTTGTCATACATTCAAAATCTAAGCCCCATTCGGGAAAGGGGTTGAGTTTGAACGATATACCAGAGGCACGAAAGAAAAGCGGCTCGACGACATTCCGACTGAGAAGGATGGCGCGGGGCTGAGAAGTTTCGCGGTTGCGGCTGAGGCTGACCGCCGAAGGCAGAGTGACTACCTTGGGCCAGCACGTCATTTGGCGGGGGGTTTGCGTGATCACAGGGCTGCATGACAGTTTCTCTTGTTTTTGGGGGGATGGGAGGTTTCCGTTTGCGAGGGATGACAGAAATCGTGGGGGGAATAGATGAGATGAGAAAAAATAAAGAACAACAGTCTTGACTCTGATTTGGAGTTTGGGTGCATTAGCCTGTGATTGGGGTCGTATCAGGCAGGCTAGACGAACGAACGGACGGCAGTATTAGTGGTCACGGAAACGAGAAATCGCATTGTGAAAACTACCTAGACGAACGGAAGGGACTCGTGGGGTATCTTTTGCTGCTGTATGTGTGCTCGACAACTCCATCAAAGACGCAAAAAACCCCGTGGGCTTACCAGACGGAATACTGTACATCTATCTACCTCGCGACAACAGCTCACTCGTCGAGAAAATTCATGTTGAGCAGGTTCGCCGCCAGCCAGCCGCCTTCCTGCGCCGGCTCTCCGGCGACGCCATCGCGCAGGGCCGCCTCATCGCGGTGGC